AGCGCTCTGAGCAATAAAATGCTCGACCTCAATGCTCGTATGGAGGGTTGTGACTACGAACTCTGTCCAAGACATATGTTACCAATAAGGCGAAGATACTTCCAGTCAAAATACCGGAGATAAGGCCAAACGCCATAACATACCCAGAAACCTCCTCTTCAGCGGCTCCTTTCGCATGATCAGGGCCTTTCATCATCGCTAGAGTACAACCACTACCGTTAGTAATGGCGAAACAACCCATCACGAGATGTTTGAACCAATCATAGTAGAATGGAACCAGCATTGGGTACAAACTTATACATATGAACAATGGAATGTAGATGAGACGAGCAGCAACCCAAATCATCAGACACCATTCAGGCATGTTGAACTTTAAACTCGGCGCGAAACGTCCGATGGTATCCACAACCTGGAAGGTGTAGATAACTTGCGCTACGAAGTCAGTATTGCTAGGATCCTCAGATTTCCAATAGGACACTTGTGCAGGGAAGACCACGAAAGTGACAGTCATAGTACCCCATGCACAAATGGCCATAGGTAGAACATCCTTCAGAATGTAAATAACGGGACGTCTAGTCTGACGGGTCTTCAAACTGGTCGTCTTACGTTTCTCCTCGATCTTCAACACCTCTCGCATATAAGGGTGCTTGGAGGTGAAGCATCGATACATAGGAATAACGAAGACAGTGATGACAGATGTAACACAGAAAAAAACGAGACACTGCCACTCTTCTTGGCGCTTAACATGACCAGCATCAAAAATGACTTGTAGCAACATATTGATAGGCCAACCAACCAAACCGGCCACACCTTCACCAGTCATATCGGCGATCATGCATGACGTTGGACATAGAGCTGCCAGACCGAAGGAAGAAGACTCCATCAACGCGTGGCCAAAACCGAGCAAGAAGACACAGACCAGAGCAAGGCCGAAACCTAAACCTTCATCGGGACACGGATTCCCATCACCAATAGTCATAGCAACAACAGCAAGGAGGATGTTGAAGATAGCCAAGATTCCACAACCCCAGTCAAAACGGGGTGCAAAGCTGAACTTGT